GAAGAGCGGCTCACCGCCTACATGTTGTTGATGTGGGTTCCAGTTATCATCATGTTACTTGTAGCATGTACTGACCTGAATATGATTACTCCCAACTCAGAAGTGTGTTAGAGCGTCACTTTCAAAACTAAGGTGTTAATGTTTCCTTTCACTTCTAGACGTGGAAAGTAAAAGCATTTGGTCAAAACTGGAAATGTGAAACAGCTAGTTACTTGTGTATGGGTAGTTTAGTTCCAGGTGTAATCATTCTCTTTCCTTAAAAATCCAATTACACTCCCAACTATTACACTCACCCTAGTATCATTCCTGGAAAGGGGTGATTTGCATCTTGCTCAAACTAAGCTGAAGAAGTTTTAACTGAAGAAGTCTAACATTATATTATTTTCCATTTTAATTTATTACTAACATGTGGCATATTAAAATACCTCTTTTTATTTCACTTCCCTTTATTGCACTTCAGAGATGTTGTGTTTTTATAAATTGCAGGTTTGTGGCAACGCTGTAGGGTCAGATAATTTTTAGCATGTTTTAGCAATGAAGTATTTTTAAATTATATATATATATATATATATATATATATATATATAGTTTTTTCAAGACGTAATGCTATTGCACACTTAATGGACTACAGTATAGTGTAAAAGTAAACTTTTATATGCACTGGGAAATCAAAAACTTTGTGACTTGCTTTATTGCAATATTCACCTTATTGCAGTGGTCTGGAACTGAACCCACAATATCTCCAAGGTATGCCTACATTTAAAAACATAAAATAAGAAATTTACTACCTTAAAACTGTATTTGACTGAAAACTGAGTTCCTTTCATAAGTAAGTACTGAGAATCTGACCTGAGAAATTGATTCTTCACCATATAATGATTTAGGTATGCCTTTAAGGGTATCCCTGAATTGGATATTTTCAAGAGCTCCCACTTTGTAGAGTTCATCATCACTAGTTTCCCAAGTGAAATTTATAGAAGGTAAGTAGAAAGAAACATTCTTATTGTGTATAATGAGAAATTAGATAAAAAGAATATGAGTCTGAGAAACATGGCATTGGTAGAAATAAGTAAAACCAATCTACCCTCATTCTACTCATTAAGCCCTTTTTTTTTTTTTTTTTTTTTGCGATATGTGGGCCTCCCACTGTCGTGGCCTTTCCCGTTGCCGGACGCGCAAGCTCAGCGCCCATGGCTCACGGGCCCAGCCGCTCCGCGGCATGTGGGATCCTCCCGGACCGGGGCACGAACCCGTATCCCCTGCATCGGCAGGCGGACTCTCAACCACCGCACCACCAGGGAGGCCCAGCCCTTTTATTTTGAAAACCGTCACAGTTTTCATGCAACCGTCCATCAGCTTAAGTTTAAATGTTTGTATTTCCTTTATCAGATTCCTAACTTTCTTGGAAATGACAGAATTTAATCTTAGATTCTGTCCAATAATTGGCCTTTACCAATATCCAGCCGGTGTTTGATAAGAATATACAGTAGTTTATTCCTCAGAAAAAAATAATTTTAATAATTTAGGAACCGTGTTTTAGAAGTATTTTAAATATAGTTTATGTGGTAGTTTTCAAAGTTTTTTGTTTTTTGTTTTTTTCCCCATTCCCAAACCCTTTGACCAAAGAAAGGCTTATGCGAAATCTTAAATAAAGAGAAGAGACAGGGCTTCCCCGGTGGCGCAGTGGTTGAGAGTCCGCCTGCCGATGCAGAGGACACAGGTTCGTGCCCCGGTCTGGGAGGATCCCACATGCCGCGGAGCGGCTGGGCCCGTAAGCCATGGCCGCTGGGCCTGCGCATCTGGAACCTGTGCTCCATAACGGGAGAGGCCACAGCAGTAAGAGGCCTGCGTACCGGGAAAAAAAAAAAAAGAGAAGAGATAAAAGCAGACCTGTTCTGGTTGAGTCTGGGTTTGAACCTGAAGACCCCATCTAGTTGCTCCCTCTTTCCCCTCTTTCTCTATTTCCTTAAATAAAATCCAAAGAAGCTTTATCCTGCACCATTGGAAAACCACTGTTCTGTATTAATACAAATGATTTGTGGGTTTTGATCATCCAATATTTGTGCCTTAATCACCTAATGCTTGTATTACCCACCTAATCAGCGGTTGCCTATAAATCTCTACAAAAACTGTACACATACTCTGTTATATCAGATAACCACTTTCCTGACTGATCTATATGCTCAAGTTTCTAGAATCCATATGCGGTCAGTATCCTCTGATAATTTCTGGTCATTGAGACCAACCAGAAGAATATCAAATTATCATTCTTTGCTCTATTTTGTTTTTCAGCAATGAGCTCATCGACAGGGAAGCTAACTGTCCACGCATGTAAGTCTAGTTAGCTTATAAAAACAAGTTCAATTTCCATATCAGGGAGGATAATATCTTCAAATATGACCTCATAATCTCCCACCCATGTCCCACATTTTCTTTGGCAGAGAATAACAATTGAGTAAGAGATGAAAATACTTTTTTTCCCTAAGACCAATCTTTTTGTAATGTTCAAGAAAAACATTTTACATGGTGGGAATTTGGGGGCAGTTTGAAGAAATATATTTCTGGTTCGGAATAAATGAACTTGCCTTGCTAATTTTTTGAATGCTATGAAATATGAAATATGCTTTCTACTGAGAAATAAAATGAGAAAGTGATAAATGGGAAAGAGATAGACCCCATAATTTGTGACTGACCTATAAAATTTACTTATTATACCCATCTTGATGGTTGACAGCAGCTCCACTCACTCACTTTATATCACTGTGACCTAAATTTTGAAAGATTTTATAATAGCAGTGATGAATTTTAGGAAAGTTGTTCTTTCATTTTCATCTGTGTCTTGCAAACACTATACATTTTATTCATTCATTCAGTAAATAATTTTTTAACATCTACCAAGTGCCAGAAAGTGAATACAAGTGTCAATAAGACATGATTCCTCCTCTAAAGTTAGGAGTTTGAAGGTAGGGGAAGACATAAATAAATCAGGCAATGTTAAAACAGTGTGATAAACGCTATGACAGAGACAGAGCACAGTGCTATGAGAGTCAATCAGAGCCAGCTAACCTGGTCTTGTGGGGTCAGAAAGTGATCCTTGAGGAGAAAGGAAGGATGGAAAATCAAGTGACAAGTGGAATGAGTGTCTCGGGCAGGGGGAGCAGAATGTAAAAATGTCTTCAGAAAAGCAAGAACACGGTCATTTCTTGTCATTGAAAAATGTCAGTGTGGCTGTAATATAGAATAGGGTGGGCATGGGAAAGGGGTGTGATTAATAATGATCAAGGACCAGAACCATGCTGAAACATTTTGACTTTGTTTGGAGGGCAATGAGAAGTCACTGAAGGGTTTTACACACATCAGAAAGGTCACTCAGTTTTCAGTGTGGAGAATGGACTGGAAGAGCAAAGCTGGAGGCAGGGAGATGAACAGGGAAGGTATTGCAGTCCTTCAGATGAGAAAAATGGTAGTCTAAACTAGAGATGACAGAGTGATGGGGATTTCTAAAATGACTGGCCACAGAAGGAGTGTAATCAGTACCAGTGAAGTGAATTTTCTTTTTGATACCTAATTTGTTGGAACAAGAATTGAACCTACCATGTTTTCTTTATGAGCACCATGCTTTAAACAGGCTTAATTCTTAGCAGGCACCCTAAGCATCAAACTAATCTCTGATCTGATGCACATAATAAAGTACATATTTATTCCTACCAATAGTGAATGTGATGTTTATGTGGAAACATAGAACCCTCCATCCTGAAGAGTAAGAGATTGGTCATGATACATTAATCCGTGCTCACTTTAGGAACTAGTCACTCAGAAAAATGTATGGGGTAGGAGTTCCAAGGAATTAGCAATTACTTCTCTGACTAGTTCTTTTGGTGAGAGCTTCATGTCAAAGTAACAGGGTGGGAACATCTAAAACTGGGAAACAGTAATCTTAGTAGGAGCTCCCAGAACATCTGGATAATTGACACTGCAGGTCCTCAGGACATACACTTTTTGGTGTGTCAAAACTTTACAGTCTTACATAGCTTTAGTAGGCAATATATATCCACATCTATAAAGGGAGGGAGTAAGCAAAACATCAACTATCAGGAAATACAGAGGATGGATATTAATATTGTACATGTTTATATAATGACATGCAAATATTGCAGTACTCTACTAGTTTCTCTGTATCAGGGATTATAGAGATGTTTCTTACAACTTAATGATCTCATCTCTTTCAGGTTGTGGTAAACGAGCTGTTCCATTAATAGTGAACAGAATAATATCCGGAGAGATTGCGGGCAAGTCTTCCTGGCCTTGGCAAGCTTCCCTTCAGCATAATAACATACATCAATGTGGGGCCACCTTGATTAGTAATACGTGGCTTGTTACCGCAGCGCACTGCTTTAGGATGTAAGTGATTGACGTTAACTTACTACTACTACTGCTACTGCTTAAAAAAAAAAACTCTGGGTTTTATCATCTTCTGAGTAATAATCAATGTCCCCAAATATTACTGAGGTAAAATGAGAAAAACTTTCAGTTTCTTTTCTAAAATTGTGTTACACTTATTTGGAAAGTCAGTAGGGGTAGTAGTCATTATCCTAGTATCAGGTCCTTAAGGTTTTAAATAAAGAAACTGTGGCTGAACAGAGTGTGGAGAAAAGGGAACCCTCCTACACTGTTGGTGGGAATGTAAATTGGTGCAGCCACTATGGAAAACAGTATGCAGGTTCCTTAAAAAACTAAAAATAGAGCTACCATATGATCCAGCAATCCCACTCCTGGGCATATATCCAGAGAAAACTCTAATTCGGAAAGATACATGCAACCCAATGTTCGTAGAAGCACTATTTTACAGTAGACAAGACATGGAAACAACCTAAATGTCCATCAACAGGTGAATGGATAAAGAAGATGTGGTATATATGTACAATGGACTATTACTCAACCATAAAAAAGAATGAAATAATGTCATATGCAGCAACATGGATGGACCTAGAGATTATCATACTAAGTGAAGTAAGTCAGACAGTGAAAGACAAGTATCATATCACTAATATGTGGAATCTAAAAAAAAGATACAAATGAACTTATTTACAAAACAGAAATAGACTCACAGACATAGAAAACAAACTTATAGTTACCAAAGGGGAAAGGGAAGAGGGATAAACTAGGAATTCGGTATTAACAGATACACACTACTATATGTAAAATAGATAAACAGCAAGAACCTATGTATAGCACAGGGAACTATAATCAATATCTTGTAATTAACGCTAATGGAAAAGAATCTGAAAAAGAATATATATATATATATATATATATATATATAAAATGAATCACTTTGCTGTATATCTGAAACATTATAAATCAACTATACTTCAATTAAAAAAAAAAGAAATAATTAGGTTGAGAAACAAGTATCTATATCGGTAGTACCTGTCTCTTTGCTTATCCCTCTTGGATGATGTTAGTTCAATTAACTAGTTAAGGAACATTAATCTCATTATTAATAATACATTTTGTTGGAAGATGGCATCCTATAAAGAACAGAGAGAGACAAGCAGACATGTGATACTAGGCATATAATTTAAACCATCTAGGCCCTATTTTCCTTAAGTATAAAACAAAGTCTTTATTAGAGGACCTTTCATTACTAGATGACTTTCCCAGTCCCTGTATGTGCCATGATCTACCAGCTGCTCAAGCCCATAAGCTAGAAGTCACCCACACTTGGTCATCTCTCATAGGACTTATGACAGCTTTGCCTCATTCACTCTTGCCCTCTAACAATCTACTCTCTGGAAAGAACCAATGTGATTTTTTTTTTAACATGAGACTACATTATGCTTGGCTTAAAATCATCCAGTGAATTGACATATCACTTGAATAAAATCTAAGCACTTTATTCATGACCTATAAGATACTCTAAAATCTGGCCCCCACCTACCTCGCCGATCTCATCCCCCACCATAATTCCCTTGTGTCCTGAACTGCAGCCTGTCTGGTCTAAGCCCTTGAGATGTTTGCCTGAAAACTTGTCACCCCACCTTCTCACAGCTGACTCCTCATCAACCATGTCTCAACCCAAATGCCATGATCTCAAGAGACTTATCTAACTACCCCCTTGTACTCTATTCCATTGCCCTATTTTATTCATAGACCTTATCACTGTGGGAAATTATTTATCTATTCATTAATTTGTTTTGCTCTTTTTCCTTCACTGAAATCAAATACACCCACCAGCAGGGACCTTTCTATCTTGTTTGCCACTTTATCCCCGGCACTTCAAATAAGGTTCAACATGTAGATGTTTAATAAATATTTGCTGAATAAATAAATGAATAATATTTTATGTGCTTTACAGTTCTAAAATTCAATAATTCTATACTGAATTTCAGCTCAAAGATGCCGTTTGTATATATTTTATCTTTCAAAACAGTAGCAAAAGACTATATGGTCAAAGAAAACTATCATTGCAACCAAGTGTTTTAGGGTGGAATTTTCTCCTTTATTAGCCTGCATGCAATTATTGTAATGCATTCATATATACTGTTCATTTCTAATCTTTTCCAGTAAATCAAATCCACAACAATGGACTGTTAGCTTTGGAACAACAATCAACCCTCCATTAATGAAAAGAAATATAGAAAGAATTATTGTCCATGAGAGATATCACTCCCCAGCAAGAGAATATGACATTGCTGTTGTGCAATTATCATCCAGCATCACCTTTACTGATGAGATCCGAAGAGTTTGTTTGCCAGAAGCCTCTGTGTCCTTCCAACCAAATTCAACTGTCTATGTCACAGGATTTGGAGCACTTTTTCATGGTGGTGGGTATCCCAAAATGAATCATGGAGCACTAAGCCCTATTTATGGCAGTGTGATTTAATGTCCATCAATATTATTCTGTCAGACTTTTCCACACAGTTTGGTTGGATTAGTTAGGGTAAAAGAATGGAAATCACACATAGTATGCTCTCTGGTGATAATGGAATAAAACTAGATACCAGTAACAGATAACAGGAAAATCTCTAAATGCTTAAAAATGAAGCAATACACTTTTAAATAATTCATAGGTCAAAGAGAAAATCTTGAAGAAAATTGTAAATATACATAGATTAAAATGAAAATGAAAAAATATCAATACATGCAGGATGCATCTAAAACAGTAAAGAGAGAGGGAAACATAGCAAATGCATACATTAGAAAACAAGAAAGGTCTCAAATCAATAACATAAATTCTCATTTCAAGAAACTAGAAAAGAAGAGCAAAATAAACCTAAATTAAACAGGAAGAAGGAAATAATAAAGGTAAGAGTGAAAATGAATTCTATCAAAAGCAAAAAATAGAGAAAATTAATGAAATAAAAAGCTGATTCTTTGAAAAAAATCAATACTTTCTGAGAAATGTCATTAAGCATTCCCACAATAGTTGAGAAACAGTTCAGGGATGTATAGGACTTATAGACTATACTTTCTGTTTGTTTCCTGTGGTTTTTTTTTTAATTTAATTAATTTTTATTGGTGTACAGTTGATTTACAGTGTTGTGTTGGGCTATACTTTTTATAACTTTTTGCCAACTAGTTTTCTGAAAAATTTATGAATTTACACTATCACCTACAATATGCATTTCAACTCTTCCCGGCACTGGACGTGAATTTTTTTTTTTTTTTTTTTTTTTGCGGCGTTGTGGCCTCTTCCGTTGCAGAGTACAGGCTCCGGACACACAGGCTCAGCGGCCATGGCTCACAGGCCTAGCTGCTCTGCGGCATGTGGGATCTTCCTGGACCGGGGCATGAATCCGTGTCCCCTGCATTGGCAGGCGGACTCTCAACCACTGAGCCACCAGGGAAGCCCGACATGAATTATTTTTAATTGATAACATAGTAGGCAAAAAGAAATTACACCAATTATATTCAAAGAACAGAATAATTTGAGCATTTTTAAAACATTTTAGCAAACACACCTGTCCAGAAATAAATCCTGAATTGGCATTCTACAGAAATTAGTGTCTATATTAGTTTTCTACTGCTGTGTAACAAATTACCACAAATTTAACAACTTAAAAGAGCACACATTTATTATCCCACAGTTTCCATGGGTCAGAAGTTCAGACATAGCTTAGTTGGGTTCTCTTCTCAGGGTCTCACAAAACAGCAATCAAAGTGCTGGCTGGGGTTGTGGTCTCATCTACGGCTCTGAGTTCTCTTCCAAGCTGGTTGTTGATGGAACTCAGTTTCTTGCAGCTGCAGAGCTCATGGCATCTTGCTTCTCCAACACCATTAGCGAAAACTCTCTGAACTTAGGGAAGGCCTAAGCCCTTTTTAAAAGGGCTCACAGGATTAGGTCAGGCCCACCTTGGAAAATCTCCCTTTTTATGAACTCACTGTCAGACGACTACATCTTAATTAATCTGCAAAATTTCCTCTCCTGTGCCACAGAACATAACCTAATCATGAGAATGATATCCATAATATTCACAGATCCCACCCATACCTCAGAGAAAGGAGATCACATAGGAATCTTGGGGATCATAGTAGAATTCTGTCTACTACAGGGTCAGTTTCCCAATCAGCATATGGTTTATATAAAGAAACCCTGAATGCTAGTGATATTATTGTTTTCCATCATAAATAGTTGTCTTCTGCATTAATACTGGTTTCCATAACTCAGGATCTAGTTTATGATATGGAGTCCCAAAATTGTAAGAGGTAATGAAATCTTTGCCTTTAAATGTCATTATGTATGTGAAAGTTCTTCATAAAATGTAAAGGATAAAGTAAATGTATATAGTTATTTTATCAAGCCAGGGGAGCAAACTAGGCCTGAAAAGTTTCTGGGAACAATCTGGAATCTACAAATACAAACTTTATTTTTTTAAAAATGCTGTCCTGGGGGCTTCCCTGGTGGTGCAGTGGTTGAGAGTCCGCCTGCCGATGCAGGGAACACGGGTTTGTGCCCCGGTCTGGGAAGATCCCACATGCCGCGGAGCGGCTGGGCCCGTAAGCCATGGCCGCTGGGCCTGCGCGTCCGGAGCCTGTGCTCTGCGACGGGAGAGGCCGCGGCAGTGAGAGGCCCGCATACCGCAAAAAAATAATAATAATAAAATTAAATAAATAAATAAATAAATAAAAACTTAAAATGCCGTCCTAAATACATTAACTGATTGTTTTTTAAGGTACAAAGGTTCCAGAAAAAGAAACAAAATGTTTTTCTTGCTAGTATAGGTATTTATAAAAATGAGATAAGGACGATTATCATTTACATATACCAGATATTAAACAGAATTTTTTTTCTTTAGGAACTGCTTACATTAACCTCATTCTGTATCAACAATTTTAGTATGAGAAAAAAATCAGGAAAAGGTCCACACTTCATTCTAGCTAAGATGTTTATTGTAAACACTAAAATTACTTTGTTTTTCCTTAAGGGGAATCCCAAAATGATCTTTATGAAGCCAGACTGAAAATCATAAGTGATGATGTGTGCAAGCAGCCACATATGTATGGCAGAGATATAAAATTTGGAATGTTTTGTGCTGGCTATCTGGAAGGAATTTATGATGCCTGTATGGTAGGTGGAGAGAGATTATTTTGATATCATGAACTCAAAAAATGTATCTGGCTCAAAATGCTCTTTATTTTAGTAAAATACAGAGATCTTGTCTGTTCAAAAATTTATAAATGCAAATCTCAAACACAAACATATTTTTAAATGTTTTATTAAGCAAAACAAAATAAGCAGAGTTTCTTTGATGCTATCAAACAACCAATAAAATTAAATTTTCTTAATACCAGAAATCCACAGGTTCATAAAGCAGAGTCCCTTTCCTTAAAGAGCTCACATTTAGAAAGGAAACAATCATGAACAATGAACTATGATGTAATGTTATAAATTATATAACAGAGAACAAAATTTTTATTAAAGTATAGTTGATTTACAATATTGTGTTAGTTTCAAGTGTGGAGAACAAACATTTTTAGCTTGAAGGAACATTCCTGGAACAAGTATTAGAGAGATGATACTTCAATGAGGCCTGAAGGATAAAGAGCACTTACCCTATAGAATAAGAGGGGAATATTAGAGAAAAGAGAAAAAGCATAGCTAAAATTCTGAAGGTGTGAAATTATAATTCATATTTGAGGCAACTCCAAGTACTCTGTTGGGTCTCAGCCTAAGGAGGATGAGAGGTGAGAAGCTGTTAATGCTGAGAAGGCAGATTAGGCCATGGTGTGAATATCTAGTCCCCTTTCCAGTGGCCTACTCTGTTGTCCAGCATCTGTCCTGCATGTATATTTTTGGACAAAGAAGTAAAGTGTGTTTCTTCCTGGAGGCACTTGCTTTATAATGTGAGATTCTTGAAAACTCCGAGGTGATTCCACATGCTAAAATGATGGGAATTGTACTGTTATCAGGTGGCAGAAAGCCCTGCGCAGAGTCCCACCAATTACACAACATAGACAACCTCTGTCAGAAAAATAGCAGGGAGTTTTGCAGCATACACGCTGGGCAAGAGCAGAATCTAGCCCCAGTTGCTGAGAATGTGGAGGAGGCATCTAGAATTCAAGGAATCCAAAGAGAGGTTCATGCCATGACAGGCAAGTGGGAGGTGGTGACAGGAACACACTGAAAATGAGAATCTAGACCAACAGTAAGATCAGTGATAAGCCTCTGGAAAGACTGGTGGTCATAAAGAGCTTTCACTGGACTGGGGAGCAGAGGTAAGATTCCTGCCCCATGACTGTTCAGTGCATAAAAAGGCAAAGCTCTAGTCATAGAAAAATTGGGGAAGTTATCGAGGAAGTGACTCAGGCACAGGGGTCTAAGCAGGAATACAGGGATTGCTACTGGGGTACACTGGGAGGTGCTACATCTGATAAAACAGAAGCCCAGGCACCTTACTTGAAGTCAGAAAAAACTAACATCAGATTGACTTTCTGTGTTGTGTACTTGAAATTTGCTAAGAGTAGATCTTAAGCATTCTTACTACACACATACACTGACACGCACACAAAGTATTGTGAGGTGATGGATGTTTTAATTAACCTGATTGTGGTAATCACTTCACAAAGTATATATGTCAAATTATCACGATGTACACTTTAAATATATATGTTTATTTGTGAATTATTCATCTATAAAGTTGAAAAAATAAAATGTGGAAATTGAATTTTAAGGCTTTTATAACTTTTGAAACCCATGTTTCAACTAATTATCCTAGAATTGGTAATCTATACATATACTGTCTAATAATAAAATATGTGGTTCATCAAGCTATCTTAAGTAATAAGTTTTACATTTAGCTAATTTTCTTTCTCTTTTTTCTTTTTTTATTTTCAGGGTGATTCTGGGGGACCTTTAGTTGGAAAGGATCTTAAAGATACCTGGTATCTCATTGGAATTGTGAGCTGGGGAGATAACTGTGGGCAAAAGAACAAACCTGGAGTCTACACAAAAGTGGCTTATTACCGAAACTGGATTACTTCAAGAACGGGCCTCTAATTCACTATACAAGTTAAACATTGAGAGCTGTATGCAGGTCATACATGTATGAGAATCCATATATTCTGTGGTTGTAGTACAATGAAGTGAGATTAAACGATATGATTTATTTCAGAATCACTTTAATCAATCAAAATCCCATAGCCAATTTGTAAAGGATTTAAATTTATAAGGTAGTGGGTCAGTTTAGCCTGGCTTGAAAAATACAGCAGAGATACTGAGCTCTTTAAATCAGCAAGCTAGAGTATAAAAGAGGAGCAATGCAAATTTTTGAGGATAATCTGTAAGATTTTTAGAGTGTCTTTTTCCCTTAAGTGAAAAACTTTTTGAACTCTGAGTTTAGGAAACCCTTACCTAATTTTCTATCATTTCTCTAGAGGTCACAAATACTTTTTTCTAGTTCTTACAGGTTTTCCAAAGAAATTTTCCATACTTTCAATTTATAAATCCATTGGAGGGATCCTAATTTTTTTTAAAGTTACATCTAGGAAATAAAGTATGGTGATAAATCAAGCCAGAGATCTTATAACCTTTGTCTGCTGCAAAATCTCGCTAATTTTTCAGTGATTCTTTTACACATACACACACACACACACACACACACACACACAAACAGAATATCCCTACCTTCAGATATACCCAGAAAAAGCCTGCTTAATGAATATATACAGTAATTAGCTAATCAAAGATGTATTTTTGTTACAAAAATTGGGGGGAAGGTGATAGTAACTTCATGAGCAGTCCGAAAAAAATGGCACAAAAATTGGATATTTTATAGATGCGTTTACATGTTTGGACCACCAGGAGGCAGCTTTGTACATTATTGTTGTACGCTTAAATGCCTAGAAAAAATGAGAATTTGTTAATATGTTGAAGAATTAATGAGCATTATCCTTCCATACAGAAAGAAAAAGTTTATTCCTGTGTATTGCTGCAGCCCATTATCTCCTAAGGCTTGCAGCAACAGCCTGACTATTGCAACCATGAAACAATAGTTTTTGTTTTAATTTAATAAATATAAATTTTGAGGACCAACCATAAAGAACAAATGAACAAAGTGATTAAATGAACCCCCTAAGTGTCTCATGAAGACATTAGGTGAGTCAGGCTCATGTATTCCATGATACAATTAAATGAAGATTTTGTGGAAACTGTTACTCTGTGTGACAATGCTGACTAAACATCAGGGTTTATAGGTGGGGTGTCGTTTACTCATGCAGTCCAGATATAAGCCAAACTGTTAGAAAATTGAGTGATTTTATAACAGTCTCCCCCATGTGCTATTAATAAGGCATAAAAATAATCCTAAAAGCAATGAAGACCCAATGCAGCCAAAAATAAATAAATAATTTTTTTAAAAATCCTAAAATAATCTAAAAGAGATTTAAAATTTATTCACCATAAAAATTGATCCATAACTTAGACTCACAGAATTTTAAAGCTTAGGAGAGACTACACGTTATGTGGGCCAGTACACTTAGGGTTCAGAGAACTGAAGCCAGGAAAAGTAAATAACTTTGTGAAGCTGTAGGTAATTTGTATCCCCAGTGGGCCTAGAACCCAGGTACAAATTTCACAGGCCCTTTTCTTACAAAGTATCTTTATGATTGTCTATATTTATTGAATCATCAGCTGTATAAAAATTTCAGTGAGTTCTATTGAATCTGTTTTAAATTGAATTTTAAACGGTGTGATTCACTTAGGTGGCTGGCTGCCAATTCTCTGAGCTCACTTCAAGATAAAGCTGCTTTTCCGTATATAAAAATATACATAGGCATATAAATTATTCGATATTATGGTGGCAAGATATAATTCTGATTTCTAGTGTTAAGGTTCAAGAAATGATCTTAGAGTTATAACTTTGTATTTCTAAACTGTTTTGTGAAGCACTTAATCCTGGGTCACATGTAAACAAATACTGATATATTATTTAAAATCTAATAATAAAGTTGGTGATCAGAGCATTCTACAAATAATATCATTGAATCTGTGTTAGGCCAATAGCATGAATCTTTCTTTCAACTTCTGTTAAAAATTACATTTCTTTTAAATAACTAGTTTGAGTCACTCTGAAGCAGAATTTCTTAACTTTGGCACTTTTGACCTTCTGGTCTGGATAGTTCTTTGTTTTAAGAGGCTACTCCATGCATTGTAGAATTTTAGCAGCACCCCTGACCTCTGCCTTCTAGATGCCTGAAATACACTCCTTCCCCCCAAATTATGATAAACAATAACCAAAAATGTCTCCAGACATTGGCAAATGTCTCCTAAGGGGTGAACTTGTTCCCTTTTGAGAACTACTATTCCAAAGACATTTGATTATTTTCAGAAATGCCAGCGATATCTCAAAATTATGACACTGAGCATTCAAAAACTATAGTCTCCTGGTCAACCTGTATGTTCACTATCATGTTCCTAAAAGAAACAGCAGAATAAGTGACTGATGCTTTAGTCAATGGCTATTTCAAATACAGAGTGATCTTCCCACACACAATGTGCCTAGCATTTCTCTCATACTCCTGCCTACAGTATATTCATAGAGAACCATCAACCACTACTATGAAGATAGGTTTTCTATGAATATACCCTCTAGTAGAGTTTCTCTATCTTGACCACAATCCACAGCAAGAAATATATTTTACAGCTGATAATACAAATATATTATCACAGCTCCATAAATATGTAACAAAATACTATGTATGAAAAAATGAAACAGAAGTTTCATAAAACAATACCTACCTTATTAAATACAATAAAATCGAATATTTCTATTCTATTCTATTTCATATTTTTAAGTGCTTGCCCCACCAACTAAATTTATTTCACAATCTAACAAGTCAGTTAGATTGTGAATCTGCAGTTTCTATAACACATTCTGGAATGATCATTCACTATTATTAACGCCATATTGTTATTATCTCACCTCTTCCTACTGCGTTTCCCACCTTCAACCTCTCTCTACTGCATTTAGCAAATTGTAGCTAGATTATAATGCTATTCAATAATGCTATTCTCATGCACTCAAATCTTCACCGATTTCCCCTTTGCCTGACAAATAGAGTCTAAATTCACATCACCATAGCTTGTAAGGTCCTTTACAATCTGCCTGTAACAACCAATAAAATTTTTGTTTCACTTGTACTCGGTGCTCTTATAACACTAAATGTTACTCTTTATTTCCTGAACACATATATAGTGGGGCATGCAATGTTCTCTTCACTCTATAAGATCTAGCTCAAATATCACCTCTACTGAGAATACCTTTTTTATCCCAGATGAAATTACTCTTTTTGAATGTTTTTGTTCTTCCCCTAGAGCATTTCTCATACTTTACTCTGTATTACAGCTTATATGTAAATTTATTATCTCTGCAAACATTTTAAGTTCCATTAAAGACTGCTTTGCTCATTTTTGTATTCCCTACAGTATTTAGGACAATATGCTGTATATATTGTGTTTAGTGAAGGAATAAATTAATAGAGGTTAACTATGATTTCTATGAAGAAAAGACACCTCAGTTCTCAGTTGTTAACTGCCTCCCCCAGGTCACCTTCTTTTACACTGCTTTACAATCTGTGCTGGTCCTGCTTTGCACATTCTTGAACGTTTCTAAAGATCTCCTGCTCTCTGCCTACACCAGAAGCAATCAAATTACAGTAAGGCAAGTCCCTGACATTTCAGGACCCCCTCTAAATCAAAAACTTTTCCCTTAAATGAGCACATTCCAAACCCATAGGGATATTTGGAAATAAGGCCAAAAAGCAAATCTCCCATTTCCCTTTTTTTGTTTTTATTTGATCTACAAGGACTGTCCCTTTCCTCCTTTTTCTTTCATGGACCTCACAAGAGGTCTGGATACTTCCAAAAAGCCTTGTTAGATATCCATGGTTATTTTTTTCTGATCAAAGCCCTTCTTTGTTGAATTTGCCTAATGGGAAACAATAGAGATAAGACTAAAAATCATATACAATATCTATTTTTGAAAGCTCACAGAAATAACAGGATTAGAATTTCATGAAAAACATGACATTTGGTTCAACAATTTTAATTATCCATAAGCCTGTCCTTTCATATCCATTAGTAATCAAGATTTAACTGATTTAACTTTTTTAAACTGATTTTGTTGTTTTCCAAGTTCAGGAGACTCCTCCCATACCTGAAGTCACTAAATTAAATAAAGGGAAAAAAATCCCAAATGTCGCACTGAAATCTAAATACATACAATGAAAATGATCAGGGGCTCATGGGCTAAAAGAGGAGAGACAGTAAGAGTGTCAAGACTGTATAAAGTACATGCCTGGGACATCTAAGCTTGAATAAAGATGCTACATTTTAGGCAGTAACTTAACCATGAACTGTGGTATTTTGAGCTAAAGTTGGAATTTCTGAGGTCCTGATTTAGAGAGAAGCCAAATCGAAAGACATCTTATAGATTTTTAATCTGAAGATTAAAGCCAGTGGGGAGAGAAATCTAAATACAAATCCACTTAGAAACAAGGAAAATCTGAAAGAGAATAAGTTCAAAGGAAAGTCTGGAAATTCAAAACCTAATTATTAGACCAACTAATGGAAAAATGAAGCTGATTTTACTAGAGTAACAATATTTGCAAAACTAATGATGGATGAGTTAAAGAGACTATCTCAGGTTTATCCACTGAAAAACCCAAAGGTGCTTGCTACATTTCTAAGGTTGGTGCTACAACAGCACCTTCCTCCAGCCTGTACACTTCTCAGTAGACAAAAACAGGAGTCAGCTGGGAATCTCTTAACATACTTGGGTTTTCTGCCTCAGGTTAATGTTGTTGAGATATGTAGGCATAAGCTATAGTGGGGTCTTAGTTAATTGGCATAGGGGAGAGCTGAGGAAGAAAGGAGGGATGTCAACAAATGAGGCAACTGAAGCTGAAAGTTATGAGATTAATATTATTAGTTACTAACACCTCAAAGCAGTCCCACAGAACTTTAAATCATAACAGGCTAGAAGGACATCAAAGAGTATA